AAAATCCCTGTTAATGTTCAATGCTTTAGCAATACCTGTAAATTGTAGGTCATGCCAATAAAGCTATTTCAAACCTCAAACCTCTCCTCTCCTCTCGTCTCCTCCCTTCCCCTCTCCTCTCCTCTCCTCCCTTCCCCTCTCCTCTCGTCTCCTCCCTTCCCCTCCCTTCCCCTCCCTTCCCCTCCCTTTTTACTCTCTTTCCCTTTCATTTCCGGTGGTTGCATTCCAGGATTTGATATCATTATTCGGTTTTCTTTGGTTAATAACAAAAGAAATAGCTGTGGCCATATACTTGTTGCTTGACCTCTGAAAAAGCCAAAAGAAAATATCTTTCGTTCAATAGACCCTTTTAGATTGAGCGTAATGTTTTCCCATTTTAGACCACGTATTATTGCTTTCAGAATAAGATTCTTTGTTTGAGATGACGCATATTCGTGTGTCTTCTCATGCACAATCGTTAAACAAAGAAATGATACTCTAGGGAATGACACATATCCTTGAGAAAAAAATCTTTGTTTGAGTCAAATCCATATTCATGTGTCTTCTCGTACGCAATCGTTAAACAAATTAATGATGCTCTAGGGAATGACACAAGGTCTGGAATGGGAAAACATTACACCTAACAAGTCTCCATTTGACTACCATCGTGCTATGAATATACCTTGCAATATTTAGGATAAAATCTGCCAGTGCATCGTCATCGTTCTGTATCCGAGTCCCTGTRTGAGTATGTCCACTATTAAAATGCTGATAGAGCAACAAAGGGRCTGCTTTTTCGTCGTGCTGTATTTCYTGGATCATGGTTTTAAGGTACTTCAGAAAATAACTGTTGTAGAACTGACCGTTGAGGCACACCTGTGATGGCCGATCGTAGTGGTTGGTGTAGCCGTATTGGTTTATAACCTCGCAACTGAAGTGTGTTATCCCAATGTGATCCAGGTTGTGTTCCTTGACGGTATCTTTGAAGATTTKAAACCTGTAAAACATAGGAGACCGAACGTTTATAGAGTGGCTCATGTTGACATAAATTGAACGGTTTGAACAGGAATAGGCAATGTGCATTAAATAATCACATGACTGTTACTGGGTGGCAATAAAATTCG